GCTTATGTGCGGGGTAGTCCCTCGAGAGGTTTCACCCGCACCTCCACGTCCCATCTGGTCAGGTATCGGTGTGGTTTTAAAGCACGCTGGCCACTGCCGATTTTATTCATCATTTGGGCTATTGTTTTGCTTATCTGGTGAGCTAGTTGCTCAGACCGGGCAGCCCTTTCGTCATTCATAGTTTTTGCATGATGGCGTCATATGTTATTAGTGTCATTAAATGTGAGTTCAGCAGTTCGGATTCCACGGTCTTTTTAATGTTTGCACAATTTCTATATTCACCAGTGGGTCGTTTGGCGTAGGTATACATGTTGCTTAGAAGCTTCAAGCCATCACCTCAGGAGATCGGGCCACTAGTGACCAACAGAAAAACAGGTGAATAAGAGGAAATAGATTAGGGGGTAGAAATATCAACGAAAGTAGTAGCCAAATAGTATGTCTCGTGACATTGTGGGTGCCATATGATTGGGTGTGATTAAATATTACAAACTTTAGCATATCCGTTAGGGTTATTAATGAGTTGGCTTCTCCATTCAATACGCACTAGGTGATGCAAATTATCCGGATGCCATAGGACAATAGAATATGTAGCCTTTACGAAGGAATGATAAAGCAAGAGACACACTTAGTTTTGTTTCCCACCTACAAGTGCGACTTCAAGTGTGGCCTTTTCGAACACAAAGTTAATGTATTCAGGAGTGTGGTGAACTTGCATTAGTGGTCATATATGGTTGGGACCTGATGAAGGTAACACATCTGTAGACGCTTGAAGGCCGAATATTTTCATTTTGTTCTGCATGTTAAAGAAAACTCCAAGTTCATTTTAAATTTAGTTAGGTTCTCACTTTCCCGTACTTTCAGTGGTAGCTTGTTCCATGTGTGAGTATATCTTACCAGAAAGCGGTTGGAGTGTATCTCTAAGTTTCCCTTTTTTACGGGTAGTGAGTAACCCTTGTTTATTATGGGATTGTTTGATGAATTTTGCAATTTAAGGACTACATTGCTTCTCTACAGCTGGCATTGTGTAATGTTCTCAAAGAACTAAATTATTTCTCAGGCGGCGCAACCATAGAAGGTCTAGGTTAAGGCGGCGACAGCAGTCTTCAAAGTTCATAGTGGTGGATCGGCCAATAAGAAGTTTTGTTAAAGAACCCTGAATGTTTTCTAAAGCTACTTGACCCGTTCTACGTAGGTGGCTATGGACAATTGTGCAATAGTCCAGCATAAGTCTCGCGATTATTTTAAACATTTTCAGTCTCGCTTCAGGTAGAACAAAGGATTTAGTGACATAGGCTTTCAATTACCCTGCCTTTGTTATCTGATATGAGACATGCTCGGAAAGGTTCAACATTGCGGAATATATTACTCCAAGGTCTTTAGCTGTAAAGGAGTTTGGGGTGTTTGTACCTGCTAGGGTGATGGAGCCATATGCCGTAGGTAACATCCATACCCAAACACTTGCGATTTTTAAGCGGGGAATTTCATGCACCAATTTTTTACTCCAAGAGTCCAGCGCTGATAAGTCCTCATGTACGTTCTTAAGGCCCGACTCAAGGCTATCGGGTGGAAATGAGCGGATGAGATTAATACCATCCGCAATGAGGTATTATAATCTATATTTGATGGAATCACATGCGGTATTTATATGCATTAGGAAGAGTAGTGGTCCACGAACACCGCCTTGGACAACTCCGCTTGTAACTTGAGGAGGAGAGATGAATTCTTTGCGAAGTGAACTGTTATCTGAGCTTGGCAGTTGTTTCGCAAAGGTTTCGTCATCATTCGTGGTGACATCATCAGTGCGTAGTGCAGTATAGTATGGCGATGCGTAGGTACGTGTGAACTGGGTAGTAACGCGCGTGCGTTTTATAAGACATCGTCATCGGCTGTCTGGGCAGGTGAACTTTGAAAATGGACTCTTCAAACTGTGCTTCGTCTTTCGTCCTCCATCCTTCTTGGTTGGCTAATTTTATTCGTTAATTGCTGCTTCTTTAGAGTTGTATGGATCTGAGTGACTAGTTTTGTGCTGGGGTCCTGATCGATGTGGCGATAAGTAGTTGTGTCTGATAGGGGTTGTTTGGCCGATGATGCCAATATTGCAGAACTCTACAGTCTGCCGAAGGTACACAAGGTCGGGCCCCACTTCGACCCATCGTCTCGCTACCAGGAACACAGTCATATAAGCTAGAAAAGAATCTGGAAGAAATTAATATCCCTGATCGCCGGATCTGAACAAAGCATAAACAATAGTAAACAGTTCCTAGACAAACTCAGAGGTATCAAGATAGTGGATGACGAAATTATGCTATCATTCGATGTCACTACTCTACTCACATCAATCAACTACTTGCTAAGGAGATCATGATAGCAGTACTCCAGAATCCACGGAGCATAACAGGAAACATGAAACCGGAAAGTGCGTGGGAACTGTCGGACCTATGCATGGCTACTTATTTCTCCTTTGATGGACAGCTATACCAACAACTGAAAGTAATGCCCATGGGGTCACCCATAGTAGAGCTGATTGCCGAAGCTATAATGCCGAAATTAGAGCGCGTTGCCGTGCCACTGATCAATCCCAAGCTTTGGATCCGATATTTCGACGACACATTTGTCGTAACAGAACGAAATTCGGTACAGTATACACAGGATTTGATCAACAATGCATTTCAGGCCGTCAGCTTCACTATTGAATTGAAAGACCAAAAATTCCCGTTCCTTGATGTTGTAATTCTCAGGAACACTGACAGAACGCTTCAAAGTTGGGTATATCGGAGCAACTATTGGACTACCACAGGCGTCATTCGATGAATCACAATAAGTGATGTATACAAACTCCATTCAAAAGAGGAGTGACACACTGCAGCACAGTGGAATTGAGAAAGGAAGAAAACTACCGCGTTACAAAGCAGCGGGTATCCATGTAACTTTAGTAGTAGATTCTTGAAGAGGACACTTCCCCAGCATCGGCCAAAAGAGTCAACTATACGTGTAGTGCTTCTCTATATTAAGAATGTTTCTGAACTAACAGCAAGATTGCTTCATCAACACAATGTCACCGTAGCACACAGGCCAATTGCTACACAGAGGACTGCTTTTAAGACCGAAGAACAAAATCAAACAAGGGAAACAGACCCATGTAATCTACAGGATAGTCTTCACCGAATGTGATAAACACTACATCGGACAAACAAGAAGAAAGCTTTCCACCCGGATCACTGAACCTACGAAGGCTAGGACTAGGCATGACCTATATTCATTGGTTTCGATACATGAAGATGAAGCTGGTCATCACTTTGATCTGGAGGACTAAAGCTGCACATGGGAATACGAAACAGGCAAGGGAATTCTTAAAAGCGTTGCACTTCACGAAGCGTTCAATCAATCGTACGTTGCGTTTTACGCTATCTACACAAATCTACGTGCAAATAACCTCATTGAAGAGGGACGCCATACAAAACTCAGGCTACATCCTCAGCAGCTGAGACAAACGGGCTGTAGTCACGAGGTCATTTACAAATGTCACGCCGAAACGGCCGATGACGGCGACCTATAAAAACGCACGCTCGTGACTATCCGGTTCATATGTACTTACTCATCGCAATACTACACTGCACTACACCCTAACGCACTGATGACGTCTCCTCGAGTGGTGATGAAACGTTTGCAAAATAAGCACCAAGTTCACAGAACGCATCATATGATAAAAGAACAACCGGAGTTACCAACTTTTACTTCTAGATCAGATGAATGCTTCTTCCAGGTATGTATTAATCCGCAGATTAATCTGTAGTGATACATAGTTTGATTCGTCCATCACAATTTTAATCCTCCTGCGTTGATCACCCTTACAACGGCTTACCGTTAAGGGTTGTTTTCTGCATAACACGCACGTTTTCACCACGAACATTTAGTTATTCGTCTTGAACTACGAATGAGGTAAATTCTTGATTTACCGGATGATCTTGCTGTTTCTTTATCAATTCTCCTCGGTTTCACAATTAACTAAATGCGATTGCTGGTATCACGTCCAAATTCTTTCACACCATCATATGCACACATTTTGAAATCTTTTATCTGTGCTCCGTGATTTACATCTGGCGATTAACAAAGCCATTTATTAAGCCACTTTAGCGTGTTTATCAGGAAATCAGCGACAAGTTGGGCGATATGCGAATACCGACACTGGAGCTGATGTCGAGATATCTTACCTCCTAAGTGAATTTGAAGCAACTCTGAATGAATCATGGTATGCTGTTTAAAGTGTCATAACTAGATATTTCAACTTGCATTCCTTAAGTACCCGAAGCGACAAGGTGAATTCAGCACAGGCTACTAGGATACAGCACGAGTATATGACAGTAAATTCTGTCTTTAAAGTCATTTTGGGGACCGACGTATGCCAAATTTAGCCAATAAAATACGTATTGCTTCTCTCACAGAACCCTGTTTGCTATCTTCTCCATTAATTCAGTTACTCTTTATGTTTAGTTAAACGGGACTAACAATCACTCATAAGCTGTTGCTGATACGTTCTAGCGCAAATGGGTTAGCTCATTATAGATATTAGTATATCAGGCTTTGGATTTCTTCGGTCGAATATTTTCTCGAATATGTACACCGAATATGAACACTGATGTGTAGGAACTGTTTACATTTTATCGTTTTGAAGCAGCAGATGAAGGAATCTGGTTGCGAATAAGAAAACAGAAATAAAAGAATTTTAAAGCTTTCGGGGTGTGGTTTGGAAGAATTTTTAAGTATCGCGGTCACGGCTTCACTCATTCCTAATGTTAGTGCACATCTGAGGGTGGACTGAACTGCCCGATGTGCAGTTGCTGTTTGATTGAGTGTAGGTGCAATGGCTTTTTGCTGGAATCGACACCTTTGACAAAATAGCAATGGATTTCCTCCCATTTGTATACATTTTCGTAATCAGTACAATGACGCATATGCCCAAACCGTTTCACCATAAATACATTTCACTTTTTGTATTATAGGTACTACAGATACGTCAAGTCGGCGATCGACATGCGGGTACCTATCTTTGCAAAGCCGAGGCGTTGAACCCAGATTGGTCTTTTCAACCTGCTCGATACGGAAAACCAGCGGAAGAGCGTGGCACCATCGACTCTCCGGTGCTCATACAACTGCAAGCCATACGTGGAATCGTCTTTGTACCACCGCGTTTAGTTCCTGGAAACCCGATGGAAGTGGCCACATCATCTTTGCAAGGGCCAACTTTCGTCCGTGAAATGATGGACTACCGGTCGTTTGTGAAACGTGACGACACGCCTCCATTCATGTCTCCAGCACATCGGTATTACATGAGGCCCAGATCTAAGAATATGCTTGACTCGTCCCAACAGACTTACAGGAGCTCGATTGAGAAGATTCGTCCTGTGGCTCATGAAGGGCACGACATGCTTCTTGAGTGCCAAGCTCGTGGCAAACCAAGTCCAAAGCTTTTGTGGTATCGTGGCGGGACTAGCGCAAATATGCTGGTTGCATCGAAGGCAGTCACATTTGACCAGCGTGTCAAAGAGGCCATGCAACATGTTCCGTTGTATGAGGTTCAAAAACAGTTGGGAATCCTGATTGCAGATGGCGAACGTCTTCTACCCGTTTTCCAAGGTGCAAATGACAAATCTGAAGAGAGCGGGCAACAAGCACAGAGGGTAACAGGAACTTCACTCATTGATGCCAACGATACAACCACCCGAACATATCATTTAGGGCGCTACGATTTGTCGGTGGGTGTTCGGACAGACGACACTGGCGATCCGGTTATCACGGTATCCAGATTGGGTGTGCGCAAACTAAGACCATCGGATGCAACTCGTTATACGTGTCTGGCTTTGTTAAACTTGGAGGAGTATGGTGGAAGAGGTAATTACACAGACGTTGGGAGGTGAGTAACAAAATGGGTAGAAAAGCAGATATTGGTGGGCACAGTTAACTGCAATATCTGCGAATTGGCTAACGTTTTCCGTTCTAAAATTTGTAGTGTCATCTTATTTCTTGAACGTTAGGACAAGTCTGCATCAGGTGGTTCCACAGGTCCTCAAGATATCCCGCTAATTTGCGGACGCGTCGAAGTTAGACACGCCTGTGCTTCTTGACGTTCGAATGACTGATGCAAACGTGTTTGTCTTTACCGCTGTCTACTTGTGTTAAGCCTAAAGGTCTACCCAGACTAGGTGCAGTTATTGCGTACAGGATTCCGTTTAGCAGTGAGGACATGAAGCGGGAAGCTCTGAATTCCTAGGTGCAGCTTATCGCAGCGTCTACTTCGCAGTTTTGTGGTTCCGACGAAAACACGCGTTCTACAAGCTAGCTAAACATGAGCCAACACGCAGCAGCATATAAGGTTGGCCTGGTTTCCTAGTTAACAGGGCGAAAAGAAGCTAGTTCGTAAGCTAAGTTAAGACAGTGATTTCAAGAGTTCGGTTGCCAACCGGTCGCTCCTGCAGCGGTAGGCATACAAAGTTTCCATTTTATCAGCTCCCTCCCCATACTCCGTTGACCACATAATCGAAAATCTATCTGTTTTGCTCCCTTTGGTTTCGTCTGCTGTGCCATTTGACCGACAGCTGCTGTTCAGCTTACTATTGTTTTCATGCGCTTGCAAATCCGCACCGTCCGTGGAAGTGATCATGTTAACGACAATCGCACCGCAGTCTGTCCACAAGTTGTTTCGCTTATCTGCTGTTAGTTGGAAAGTGATTTCGGTCTGTTTTAGAAAGTAAGAGTTAAATCCGAGTACTTTTTAAGAATCACCTGGCAAATTATGAATTTCCAAATTCAAAAATACAATTTGGTTCCGCAGTGCCCGTTGGTAAATTGTAGAAAGTGGCTGATGCAGTTTACACCGGGACTGAAGTTCACAGAGTCAACTACAACAATTGTGCGATCTTCGCTTGATATGTGGCCAGTTAGCGAGGCCTCTTTGTACGTGCAAGTCATGTGATTTTTATAAAAACTGAAGTGCACTGTAGCATTAAAAGGAGCCTGAAAGCTACAAAGAAGGCTTCATTATGTACAAGGCCCTCTGTAACTAACTGTCCGATAATACATTTGTATGTCTACCGTGCCCGTCGCTGCAGTGAATTGGCCAGATTGGCTGGGTTCGTGAGTCAGTTGAATTTACACACTGTTGTGAGTCTTTGGCTTAAGTAACAGCACTATCCACGGATGACCGATTTACTTGCTGCCATTGCCCATTTTTGAATCTCGAAGTACTACTCAACAAATCGAAAGCAACGGCTTTGTCTAATCGATGAATTTACCCTTGAAGCACCGGTTTTATTTTCTTGATAACGCATCTACCTCGTTCACATTCATTTTCAAATTGACTACTATGTGACATTTTCCTTGTTTCAGCGTGTTCCCGGAAATTGTGCTTCGGCCCAGATTCATTAGATCGGGGACACATTTGCAGGCAAGTGGTTACCCTGGACACAACGCAACGCTCACATGTGAGGCGTATGGTGGATTGCTAAATTCTCATGGACTTCGAATACGTCTTTTACGTGGAACAGGTGTTCCAAGATTGATCAGACTCCTAACGGGTTCAAGACACCGCCTCTATCCTTCCGAGAGTATACCGTACGCACCCAGCAGGACAGATGCAAAAGATGACTACTCCGATGCGATCGTATTCAAACCGGGTCCATCTCTTGAACCGTACGAGATGGGTAGTGGCCGACGTCTTGGAGACATAACCGATTTTCAGCCCATTTTTGGAAACGGCACTATCGACGTTGTATCGCAGGTTGATGATCCTCGGTATAACCTAACGGTTTCGTCAGATCCCAGAAATCCCTATATGAGCACCCTCAGGCTACACGTCTATGGTGAGTGTGATACTGTATTGATTGTCTAGCTTATGAACTGTTGTATCACAAAATCAGTACCTTAAATTTCTCAAATTAGAGTCATATGAAATGATGTTGACAAACGCAACAGTGTCCTTCTGCGTTTTGCTATTCTTAGTATGACGCAACTGGGTTGTCTGTTATTTCATCTGCTCGATCCACGTTCCCCCAAACCAGAGCTGCAGCTTAGTCACATTAACAAATTCATTAAACATAGCTACTTACACATACACTTACATCCATCCATACACATATAATTCTCTCGTGTCACTGGTTACCTTATAACATTTTTGTGCAATTACTGCTCATACGGGCTTGTAGTACTATGATCATACCTTTTCAGGCGTCCCTCACACTGCCGAGAATAAACAATTTATTTATTTACTTAATCCACATGGCAATTAAGCACTTGATGCAGCTAAGGTCACTACTATGACTGTCGGAAAGCATTTCCATTCTTGATAACCCTTCAAGGATCTTCTCTGAGGACCTTCAAGAAATACCTACTTAAATAGTATTTTAAGTGAACTAATAGGGTCAAGATAATGATAGACTTTCAACTGATTGGTTCCGGTATTATATAAGCAGGATAGTTTGAGCACCAATCCAAAAAGCGCTGGACGGCCGTTTCGCCCTAACTGAGCCGGTCAGTGGTGCGCATCTTCCGGCTCCATCATGGACCGGACTCATGACCGCTAACAGCTTGTGTCAAACAACCAGGGGTTTATACGTCTTAGGGAACGATGGTAGACGACCACAAGTTGCTAGTTAACTGGGATATAGCGCGATCCATCATCAACGCACATGAAGCTTAATACCCTGACTGGTTTTTAAAGATCACAATTTTCAAAAAAGTTTGTGTACAGAAGTTACCATCGTGTTTTCCACTATCCTAAGTAGATTGGACAATCAGAAATAATGAATCTGATTAGGAACGATCCGGAATGCGTGTACTGTTACGTGCTGCCATTACAGGGAAAACAATTTGAACTGGCAGTAGATAATATATATTACGCCTGGCGTTACAGCCATTTGGAGCAGTGCTATTGTGTATTCTTCTTGGCAAAGCCCAGTCCCGCCTGTCTATTTCACTGAGGTTATGATCGAGCGACCATCGTGTACCAGAACGCGGAGGATACATTAGTTAAGCTCATTGCATTTTGTTGTATCGCCTCCGAATGTTTGCATCACACAACTGCAGTGAGAATACAAAAGCTGAGCTAGGACAGAATTGTATACATGAGAAGTCTGCTTCAGTTAAGTAGAGTAGATGAGGAGTAGAACTAGACCTACTAAAACAAGTTGGAGGCAACCATCAACGCAGAAGTAACACAGGCGAATGAGAAGCAATAGAAGTCAAAACCAATCATGCGTGTTCTAAAGAGGGGCATTAGCGGAAATGGGCCAGTGAGGTGGCATCAGTTGTGGACGGCGTACACATTCACCTAATAGATGTTGCAGAACAAATCAGGACTCGCCGTACCTCGGCTGACCACAGCTGGGAACTTCAGCAATAGCGGTGCCGTGTAGGTGGTATACATGTCGCAGGTTATATGAGGTACGAGTTTGTCTGAGAGATAAAGAGCATGCTAAAATAGGACACAAATGTTAGTAACGAACATAGGAGACAATATACACTGACTGAATTCCATCCCGGGCCTTAAGCTGCAGCTCTGGTTTGGGGGAACGTGGATCGAGCAGATGAAATAACAGACAACCCAGTTGCGTCATACTAAGAATAGCAAAACGCAGAAGGACACTGTTGCGTTTGTCAACATCATTTCATATGACTCTAATTTGAGAAATTTAGGGTACTGATTTTGTGATACAACAGTTCATAAGCTAGACAATCAATACAGTATCACACTCACCATAGATGTGTAGCCTGAGGGTGCTCATATAGGGATTTCTGGGATCTGACGAAACCGTTAGGTTATACCGAGGATCATCAACCTGCGATACAACGTCGATAGTGCCGTTTCCAAAAATGGGCTGAAAATCGGTTATGTCTCCAAGACGTCGGCCACTACCCATCTCGTACGGTTCAAGAGATGGACCCGGTTTGAATACGATCGCATCGGAGTAGTCATCTTTTGCATCTGTCCTGCTGGGTGCGTACGGTATACTCTCGGAAGGATAGAGGCGGTGTCTTGAACCCGTTAGGAGTCTGATCAATCTTGGAACACCTGTTCCACGTAAAAGACGTATTCGAAGTCCATGAGAATTTAGCAATCCACCATACGCCTCACATGTGAGCGTTGCGTTGTGTCCAGGGTAACCACTTGCCTGCAAATGTGTCCCCGATCTAATGAATCTGGGCCGAAGCACAATTTCCGGGAACACGCTGAGACAAGGAAAATGTCACATAGTAGTCAATTTGAAAATGAATGTGAACGAGGTAGATGCGTTATCAAGAAAATAAAACCGGTGCTTCAAGGGTAAATTCATCGATTAGACAAAGCCGTTGCTTTCGATTTGTTGAGTAGTACTTCGAGATTCAAAAATGGGCAATGGCAGCAAGTAAATCGGTCATCCGTGGATAGTGCTGTTACTTAAGCCAAAGACTCACAACAGTGTGTAAATTTAACTGACTCACGAACCCAGCCAATCTGGCCAATTCACTGCAGCGACGGGCACGGTAGACACATACAAATGTATTATCGGACAGTTAGTTACAGAGGGCCTTGTACATAATGAAGCCTTCTTTGTAGCTTTCAGGCTCCTTTTAATGCTACAGTGCACTTCAGTTTTTATAAAAATCACATGACTTGCACGTACAAAGAGGCCTCGCTAACTGGCCACATATCAAGCGAAGATCGCACAATTGTTGTAGTTGACTCTGTGAACTTCAGTCCCGGTGTAGACTGCATCAGCCACTTTCTACAATTTACCAACGGGCACTGCGGAACCAAATTGTATTTTTGAATTTGGAAATTCATAATTTGCCAGGTGATTCTTAAAAAGTACTCGGATTTAACTCTTACTTTCTAAAACAGACCGAAATCACTTTCCAACTAACAGCAGATCAGCGAAACAACTTGTGGACAGACTGCGGTGCGATTGTCGTTAACATGATCACTTCCACGGACGGTGCGGATTTGCAAGCGCATGAAAACAATAGTAAGCTGAACAGCAGCTGTCGGTCAAATGGCACAGCAGACGAAACCAAAGGGAGCAAAACAGATAGATTTTCGATTATGTGGTCAACGGAGTATGGGGAGGGAGCTGATAAAATGGAAACTTTGTATGCCTACCGCTGCAGGAGCGACCGGTTGGCAACCGAACTCTTGAAATCACTGTCTTAACTTAGCTTACGAACTAGCTTCTTTTCGCCCTGTTAACTAGGAAACCAGGCCAACCTTATATGCTGCTGCGTGTTGGCTCATGTTTAGCTAGCTTGTAGAACGCGAGTTTTCGTCGGACCCACAAAACTGCGAAGTAGACGCTGCGATAAGCTGCACCTAGGAATTCAGAGCTTCCCGCTTCATGTCTTCACTGCTAAACGGAATCCTGTACGCAATAACTGCACCTAGTCTGGCTAGACCTTTAGGCTTAACACAAGTAGACAGCGGTAAAGACAAACACGTTTGCATCAGTCATTCGAACGTCAAGAAGCACAGGCGTGTCTAACTTCGACGCGTCCGCAAATTAGCGGGATATCTTGAGGACCTGTGGAACCACCTGATGCAGACTTGTCCTAAGGTTCAAGAAATAAGATGACACTACAAGTTTTAGAACGGAAAACGTTAGCCAATTCGCAGATATTGCAGTTAACTGTGCCCACCAATATCTGCTTTTCTACCCATTTTGTTACTCACCTCCCAACGTCTGTGTAATTACCTCTTCCACCATACTCCTCCAAGTTTAACAAAGCCAGACACGTATAACGAGTTGCATCCGATGGTCTTAGTTTGCGCACACCCAATCTGGATACCGTGATAACCGGATCGCCAGTGTCGTCTGTCCGAACACCCACCGACAAATCGTAGCGCCCTAAATGATATGTTCGGGTGGTTGTATCGTTGGCATCAATGAGTGAAGTTCCTGTTACCCTCTGTGCTTGTTGCCCGCTCTCTTCAGATTTGTCATTTGCACCTTGGAAAACGGGCAGAAGACGTTCGCCATCTGCAATCAGGATTCCCAACTGTTTTTGAACCTCATACAAAGGAACATGTTGCATGGCCTCTTTGACACGCTGGTCAAATGTGACTGCCTTCGATGCAACCAGCATATTTGCGCCAGTCCCGCCACGATACCACAAAAGCTTTGGACTTGGTTTGCCACGAGCTTGGCACTCAAGAAGCATGTCGTGCCCTTCATGAGCCACAGGACGAATCTTCTCAATCGAGCTCCTGTAAGTCTGTTGGGACGAGTCAAGCATATTCTTAGATCTGGGCCTCATGTAATACCGATGTGCTGGAGACATGAACGGAGGCGTGTCGTCCCGTTTCACAAACGACCGGTAGTCCATCATTTCACGGACGAAAGTTGGCCCTTGCAAAGATGATGTGGCCACTTCCATCGGGTTTCCAGGAACTAAACGCGGTGGTACAAAGACGATTCCACGTATGGCTTGCAGTTGTATGAGCACCGGAGAGTCGATGGTGCCACGCTCTTCCGCTGGTTTTCCGTATCGAGCAGGTTGAAAAGACCAATCTGGGTTCAACGCCTCGGCTTTGCAAAGATAGGTACCCGCATGTCGATCGCCGACTTGACGTATCTGAAGTACCTATAATACAAAAAGTGAAATGTATTTATGGTGAAATGGTTTGGGCATATGCGTCATTGTATTGATTACGAAAATGTATACAAATTGGCGGAAATTGTTTCCTACTTTGTCAAAGGTGTCGATTCCAGCAAAAATCCATTGCACCTACACTCAAACAAACAGCAACTGCAAATCGGGCAGTTTAGTCCACCCTCGGATGTGCACTAACCTTATGGATGAGTGAAGCCGTGACCGCGATACTTAAAAATTCTTCCAAACCACACCCCGAAAGTTGTAAAATTCTTTTATTTCTGTTTTCTTATTCGCAACCAGATTCCTTCATCTGCTGCTTCAAAACGATAAAATGCAAACAGTTCCTACACATCAGTGTTCATATTCGGTGTACATATTCGAGAAAATATTCGACCGAAGAAATCCAAAGCTTAATATACTAATATCTATAATGAGCTAATCCATTTGCGCTAGAACTTATCAGCAACAGCTTATGAGTGATTGTTAGTCCCGTTTAACTAAACATAAAGAGTAACTGAATTAATGGAGAAGATAGCAAACGGGGTTCTGTGAGAAAAGCAATACGTATTTTTATTGGCTAAATTTGGCATACGTCGGTTCCCAAAATGATTTTAAAGACAGAATTTACTGTCATATACTCGTGCTGTATCCTAGTAGCCTGTGCTGAATTCACCTTGTCGCTTCAGACACTTAAAGAATGCAACTTGAAATATCTAGTTATGACACTTTAAACAGCACATCATGATTCATTCAGAGTTGCTTCAAATTCACTTAGGAGGTAAGATATCTCGACATCAGCTCCAGTGTCGGTATTCGCATATCGCCCAACTTGTCGCTGGTTTCCTGATAAACACGCTAAAGTGGCTTAATAAATGGCTTTGTTAATCGCCAGATGTAAATCACGGAGCACAGAAAAAAGATTTCAAAATGTGTGCATATGATGGTGTGAAAGAATTTGGACGTGATACCAGCAATCGCATTTAGTTAATTGTGAAACCGAGGAGAATTGATAAAGAAACAGCAAGATCATCCGGTAAATCAAGAATTTACCTCATTCGTAGTTCAAGACGAATAACTAAATGTTCGTGGAGAAAACGTGCGTGTTATGCAGAAAACAACCCTTAACGGTAAGCCGTTGTAAGGGTGATCAACGCAGGAGGATTAAAATTGTGATGCACGAATCAAACTATGTATCACTACATATTAATCTGCGGATTAATACATACCTGGAAGAAGCATTCATCTGATCTAGAAGTAAAAGTTGGTAGCTCCGGTTGTTCTTTTATCATATAAAGCATTCTGTGAACTTGGTAGTTATTTTGCAAACGTTTCATCACCACTCGAGGAGACGTCATCAGTGCGTTAGGGTGTAGTGCAGTGTAGTATTGCGATGAGTAAGTACATATGAACCGGATATTCACGCGCGTGCGTTTTTATAGGTCGCCGTCATCGGCCGTTTCGGCGTGACATTTGTAAATGACCTCGTGACTACAGCCCGCTTGTCTCAGCTGCTGAGGATGTAGCCTGAGTTTTGTATGGCGTCCCTCTTCAATGAGGTTCTTTGTAAGTAGATTTGTGTAGATAGCGCAAAACGCAACGTACGATTGATTGAACGCTTCGTGAAGTGCAACGCTTTTAAGAATTCCCTTGCCTGTTTCGTATTCCCATGTGCAGCTTTAGTCCTCCAGATCAAAGTGATGATCAGCTTCATCTTTATGTATCGAAACCAATGAATATGGGTCATGCCTAGTCCTAGCCTTCGTAGGTTCAGTGATCCGGGTGGAAAGCTTTCTTCCTGTTTGTCCGATGTAGTGTTTATCACATTCGGTGAAGACTATCCTGTAGATTACATGGGTCTGTTTCCCTTGTTTGATTTTGTCCTTCGGTCTTAAAAGCAGTCCTCTGTGTAGCAATTGGCCTGTGTGCTACGGTGACATTGTGTTGATGAAGCAATCTTGCTGTTAGTTCAGAAACATTCTTAATATAGAGAAGCACTACACGTATATTTGACTCTTTTGGCCGATGCTGGGGAAGTATCCTCTTCAAGGATCTACTACTAAAGTTACGTGGATACCCGCTGCTTTGTAACGCGGTAGTTTTCTTCCTTTCTCAATTCCACTGTGCTGCAGTGTGTCGCTCCTCTTTTGAATGGAGTTTGTATACATCACTTATTGTGGTTCATCGAATGGCGCCTGTGGTAGTCCAATAGTTGCTCCGATATACCCAACTTTGAAGCGTTCTGTCAGTGTTCCTGAGAATTAAAACATCCAGGAATGGGAATTTTTGGTCTTTCAATTCAATAGTGAAGCTGACGGCCTTAAATGCATTGTTGATCAAATCCTGTGTATACTGTACCGAATTTCGTTCTGTTACGACAAATGTGTCGTCAAAATATCGGATCCAAAGCTTTGGGTTGATCAGTGGCATGGCAATGCGCTCTAATTTTGGCATTGTAGCTTCGGCAATGAGCCCTGATATGGGTGACCCCATGGGCATTACTTTCAGTTGTTGGTATAGCTGTCCATCAAAGGAGAAATAAGTAGCCATGCATAGGTCCGACAGTTCCCACGCACTTTCCGGTTTCATGTTTCCTGTTATGCTCCGTGGATTCTGGAGTACTGCTATCATGATCTCCTTAGCAAGTAGTTGATTGATGTGAGTAGAGTAGTGACATCGAATGATAGCATAATTTCGTCATCCACTATCTTGATACCTCTGAGTTTGTCTAGGAACTGTTTACCATTGTTTATGCTTTGTTCAGATCCGGCGATCAGGGATATTAATTTCTTCCAGATTCTTTTCTAGCTTATATGACTGTGTTCCTGGTAGCGAGACGATGGGTCGAAGTGGGGCCCGACCTTGTGTACCTTCGGCAGAACGTAGAATTCTGCAATATTGGCATCTTCGGCCAAACAACCCCTATCTGACACAACTACTTATCGCCACATCGATCAGGGCCCCAGCTCGAAACTAGTCACTCAGATCCATACAACCTTAAAGAAGCAGCAATTAACGAATAAAATCAGCCAACCAAGAAGGATGGAGGAATGAAAGACGAGGCACAAGTTGAAGAGTCCATTTTCAAATGTCACTTACCCAAACAGCCGATGACGATGTCCTATAAAAACGCAAGCGCGTGACTACCCAGTTCACACGTACCTACGCATCGCCATACTATACTGCACTACGCACTGATGATGTCACCACGAATAATGATCAAACCTTTGCGAAACAACTGCCAAGCCCAGATAACAGATCACTTAGCAAAAATTCATCTCTCTTCCTCAAGTTACAAGCGGAGTTGTCCAAGGCACTCTTCCTAATGTATATAAATACCGCACGTGATTCCATCAAATATGGATTATAATACCTCTTTGCGGATGATAGTAAACTCGTCCGCTCATTTCCACCCGATAGCCTTGAGTCGGGCCTTAAGAACATACATGAGGACTTATCTGCGCTGGACTCCTGGAGTACAAATTGGTCCATGAAACTCTCCGCTGAAAACGCGCAAGCGATTAGGTATGGATGCTGCATACGGGATGGCTGCATCACCCTAACAGGTACAAACATCTCAAACTCCTTTACAGTTAAAGACCTTGGAGTAATATACTCCGCATCGCTGAAACTTTCCGAGCATGTCTCATATCAGATAACAAAGACAAGACAATTGAAAGCCTATGTTACTAAATCCTTTTTTCTATCTGAAACGAGAATGGAAATGTTTAAGCTTATCGTGAGACTTATGCTGGACTATTGCACAATTATCCATAGCCATCTGCGTAGAACGAGTCGAAAACATTCAGCGTTCTTTCACGAAACTTCTTATTGGCCGATCCACCACTATGAACTTTGAAGACCGCTGTCGCCACCTTAACCTAGACCTTCTATGGCTGCGCCGCCTGAGAAATAAGTTAGTTCTCTTTGACAACATTATACATTACCGGTTGTAAAGAAGCAAAATGGACCTTAAATTGTGATATACCTCACTTTATCCCACAATAAATAGGGGTTACTCACTACCCGGAAAAAGGGGAACTTAGAGATACACTCCAACTTCTCCCTGGTAAGGTATACTCATACATGCGACAAGATACCATTGAAAGTAAGGGAAAGTGAGAACCTAACCAAATTTAAACTGAAGTTGGGAGCTTTTCTCAACATACAGAACATAACGAAAACATTCAGCCTGCAAGTGTCAACAGATGTTTTACCTTCATCAGTTCCAAACAATATATGACCACTAATGCAAGTTCACCACACTCCTGAATACATTAACTTTGTGTTCGAAAAGGCCACACTTGAAGTCGCACTTGTAGGTGGGGAAACAAAACTGTGTATCTCTTGCTTTATCTCTCCTTCGTAAAGTGAACATATTTTACTGTCCTATGGCATCCGGATAATTTGCATCACCTAGTGCGTATTGAAAGTAGAAGCCAACTCATTAATAACGCTACCTGTTATTCTAAACTTCTGCAATATTTTATCACACCCAATCATAAGGCATCCCATAATCTCTCGAGACATACTATTTGGCTACATATTTCGTTGATATTTGTACCCCGTAATCTATTTCCTCTTATTCTCCTGTTAGTCTGTTGATCACCAATGGGAAGATCTCCGTAGGTGTTGGTTTGAAGTTGCTAAGCAATATGTATACCTACGCCAAATGACCAACTGGTGAAGATAAAAATTTTGCTGTAATTAAAATAACAGTAAATATGAAGTGCTGAACTCACACTTCATGGCATATTACGTCAAGCGGTGATCCCGGTAATCATGCACGCGAAAAGCTATGCTTGAAGAAAGGACTGACTGGTTTGAGTAATTGCTCACCATATAAGTAAAACCATAGCCCAAATGATGAATAAAATCTGCAGTGGCCAGCGTGCTTTAGAACCACAACGATACCTGACCAGATGGGACATGGAGGTGCGGGTGGATCCTCTCGAGGGACTACCCCGCACAGAAGCAGGTCCCTGAGAGACGACGCCACGAATGACCGTATTACTTCACTTTTTCGTTCTTACCCTTCTTCATTCTGCACTGAAGCTGTTGTATTACTGGATCCTAGTTACTTTATCTCTACCTCCCTACTGGCTTACTGATATTTCTCATTAACTTATTCCTTAGACCATATCCTCGCTCTTAGTTGTGGTGCATTTCCTCCATATCTCTACACCAAAAATCGTATAACTATTGCACAGTTTTTTAATCACCCTGTCTTTGGCATCTCCTAAAAGACTACGAGCCACTGAATGAGTCCCGGCTACAGAGAATAGGCATTTATTTCTTTGTTTGCTTACCTGTGTAATTCACCATTTTCAACATTAGCTTTACGATGCATAGTCACACACGTCCTAAATATCCATCTACAAGTGAAGGCTGGAAGGAATGCAACTGAGCTCACCCAGCATCACAACCATCTGGTAGCCCCGAACACAAACTGGTTAGTTCAAATCCATAATTATACCAAGTAATGTCTCGACATTACGCTATGCAATAACACCCTACAATCTGAATATTGCCTATATTATTCTGATAAAGCAACGTGAGTTGGATGATCCACTGTAGTTCCCTTCAGCTTATTTTCGCAACCTTCTAACTACTTAAAAATAGCTGCAAATGTATTACTCCAGTCTACTAAGTTAGACTGTGTATTACTCAGCTGATTTTGATTACTGAATCTAACTGTTACATCTTTTTCATACTCCTTAACCCCCTAGCAAGACGCCGACATCATGGTACCACAAAGCTGCACCGAAAGCAACCGAATGAGAATGCCCGCGAACTGGCAGCATAAGGTGGCAGAAGTCTTAAATGAAAATATTCGCAAAACTTGTCTATTGCAACCCTGTAAAAATCCAAGCAATTGACAGCCTTACATGCCTGAGCATGTTGAAATGTAAATATGATCAGTCCTTTGTGGGGTCGGTTTCTCGGTACCACAAGAAATATACCTTATTATTAGTATTAGTAACTGCCGTAATGTAAACGAGGACCTGCCCCACCGTCAGAGGCTTAATCAAATTGATTTACCCAGACATCATGAGGACACAAAACCACTCGTCATCAGCGTCGCGTACTGGCAAGGTGTGTAAGACCCTAACAGCTAAACCTCGGTCAACACACGTGTTCATGCCGTGGAAACACGATCTCATAAGATTGCAAACTGGCAGGACGTCCTCGTATTGTAAACAAACCTCGTATATGACTACGGTCTACGTTGGGGTTCCGCTCCATACCGTTAATGAGCCTCGAATATTTCTTTCGGATAGGTCACGGAGGT